AGGAATGAATTCTAAAACCACCCAGGGGTCCCAAGTTACTTTTACTACAGCTTTTTACAAAAGAGTTCCTCTTTCAGCCTCTCAAAGGTTATAAAGACTCAGTCTGCAACTAAAACCTAAGAGAATTTTCCCATTGGAACCAAAGTACATTACTTTTACTTCAATCATAATCAGATCCAGTCTCCTGTGGACCAATGTACCAAATAGATCCTGGCACCTGAGCCAGGATACAAGAGCTGTAGTCAGTGAGAAGAAAATCTGTGATGTCACGTCCACAATGCTGAAGAGGAGCTTGCTTGCACAACCAACTTACTCTTGTTTTACATACAACTGAGCAAATCACTCTTCTCTGCCTCAATTTCCCCAAGTACAACATGACTGATACACCAATCACAGCAGCCAAGCACTTTCTGAGCTAGAGGTGAAAAGCAGCCTAAGAGCACAGGAGGGTGATTGCTAGGGGAAGACAATACCATTGTAGAGAAGGAAATAATGCAGTAGAATACCCATACTATGTCACAGAGAGAATCCATATTGTAAACATCTATTGTTAGTGGGAAGTCAGAATGGGAAGTGAGCATGACAACAGGCTTCTTGAAAGCCTGGTGAAAATGAATTTGAGAACTAACACTAGTCCCCCACAGACCTCTTTCTAGACATGAAGGTTACTTTGGGAACAAGCTCTTGGTGAAAGAAAAGAAATAACGATCACATGCTGTGTTGGTGCATCTTTCAGAAAAGCAGAATGCCTTTGGTCTTCAGATTATTTTGCTCTAAAAACAGAATCACTACTTAATGAGCCTTTTTTTCCTTCTTCTTGAGTAGGGGAATATACTGGCTCCTGAGCAATGGTGATTTTTGCCTCATGCAGGCTGTGCAGAAGGCCTAATGGACTGAATAATTCCAACTGGGAAACAGCACAATACAGCCTTCATACCTCGCTTATAGGTAAGAATCACAAAGAAAAGGCTTCAGTCTTTCATAATACCATGTCACATATGTAATTCAGTATGCATTAGGTAACAACCACCACACTGAGTACATGTGGGAGACTAAGAATTTATTCTTTGAGTTTAACCCTTGGCTGCCAAGCTGGAGTAGTGCACCAGCAGAAACAGAAAACTGTGCTTTCTGAAAAACACTTGTGGGTGCACCAGTTTACCACTCACTTTGCTAGTGCTTGCTGTAACATGCTTATGAATATGAGCTTAACCATGCCCTCTGGCCGTAACTAAATTGAGCTAACCTAGTATTAAAGGAAAGTATTTGGTAACCTGTTTTAATAGATGTAACTCCAACACAGGTTTAGGCAACTGCTGTTGATGTTGAGCAGAAACGTGTTTTATAAACCCTTACAGGTCCTCTGTAAGAAACTAACCACTAAATACAAACAAGCTAGTCTTAACTTTAGGAAGGTCTGCACAGCCCTGGCACTGTGACACGGGCGACATCTCTGCACTCAGCCCGAGTCCTGACACCAAAATCTAGGAGTGCTAGGGACACTGGCCAACATCCCATCAAATCCAATGCTCACAGGCTATACACCACAATCTGATGGCAAACAGATTTCCAAGGCTTCCATGCACAACTAACCCAGGATAAAGCCCAGCACTCCCCTAAATGTTCCACTTAAAAAACGTGCAAGTTTTGGGGATCAAAAATACAGATCCTCCTCCACACATCATGTTTGGCATGAAGGGAGGTATGGAAAGTACCCGGCAAAATGGGGGAAACACCGTCCCTGCTGCTGCAAGGAGGCACTGAAGGGTGAATAACCGTTTTTAAATGCGACTGTCACTTACTTATCTAGGACGAAGTAGAGATCAAAGGCACCGTGACAGGAGCGCTGCTTTTCTTGCTCTTCCTCCTCCTCAGGCCGAGCGCAGGAGGTTAGGCTTCCCACTGCCAGCAAGAAGCACAAAACCGCCGCTTTCTCCACGCTGCTCCTGCAGCTCGCCATCTTTTCCCTTCCTTAATTCCTCCTCCTCCCCCAGTCTCTCTTGCTGCAGACCTTACGGGCTCCTCAGAAGCACCGAGGGAAGGGGGGTGGGGAAAAAAAAAAATAGGAGGGGAAAAAAAATAAATCCCTAAGTTCAGAATCTCGACTCAAGCCTGCGTGCTCGAGGCAGCTCGGACACCAGAGTGCGGGCTCAAGGCTGATCCCGACCAGCAGGTCCCCAGAGCTCCGTCCCCATGTGCCGCCGCCTCGGCAGCTGCCCCGAGCAGCTCAGCCCCGTCCCGCACGGAAAGAGGCTCCTCTCGCAAGGGCCAGAGGCGAGGGAAGGGAGCGGGGGGAGGGAGACAGGATCTTATGGGGGAATGCTAAACTGGGACTTTCCTGTTCCGGGATACCGAGGTGGGAAAGGCTGCTGCAAGAGGGGGACCAAGGTTAGGGACCGCTATTCCCCAGCCCCACCACCTCTCCGCCGCCTCCGCTGGGCACAGGGCGGGCATCCCTCTCTCCCTTCCCTCTCGGGCTGCCCGCAGGGCGTTTGGCAGCTGCAGCGGGAAAGGAAGGGAAGGGAGCGCAGCCGGCCCCGCCGGCCGTGCGGGCTGCCCCGCGGAGGCAGCTCCTCGCCGGCCGCCCCCCGAGCGGGGAGAGGGGCGGGGGGGCTCCCCCAACGGCAAGGGTGGGGGAGCCCGGCTGGGGACAGGGGCGGCCTAACTGTGTCGTGGGACATCGCGGCGGATCCTGCTCTGCTTCTCTCCCGCGGACTCTGGGAGCGATGAGGGTCCCAAGGCCACGGCAGCTGAGGGGCATTAGGTGCTGGGTCGGAAATAAGTTGCTTTAGGAATGATTGGCGTAATTGGAAAGCACCTGTGACAAACCGGGAGGGGGACGGAGGACGGGGGCGATGCGAGGAGACACTTGTGAAAAATTGAGTTGCGGAGGATGAGTGTAGTTAAAAGTTACAAAGGTTATTGCCTGAGGTGGGGGCGTGAGGACAGGTTTTCACGACTCTCTCATTCCACAGCCAATTGTTTATTTTCCGTGGAAAAACCAACAAACTTAGTTTGCCCACACTGGAGTCTGCACACATCCTGCAGGCAATGAGTAATGATGAAACGAAATCTCTTAATGGAGGCTTTGCACAGTAGCATCATCACTCCCCGCCTCATACACACAGGTTACAAAGCATTGCCCCAAAGAGCTGACCCAGCTCATCTGGACGCTGTCTCCAAAGTTGGAATAATTAGTGGCTTCCAGCTGCTTCCCCTCCCCCAAACCCGTTGCAGCCCCTAATTAATGAAAAGAGCCACGGGGAGGGATGCGAGTAGAGTCACTTTGCATGAACGAGCCGGAACTAGACGTTTCTCTCTCTTTCTTGGGGGAAGGCTTTTGAACACGAGTCAAGGTCGAGGGAACCCATCCCCGGTGGGCTGTTGGCACGCTGCCCCATCGGTACCGCCCCTCAAGCACCCATCGCTTCGCTGGGGGACTCTTCACTGGGGAAGGGAGTAATGACGCTCGGGCCAGGAGCCACTTTTACGTGGCAAGAGCAAAAAGTGTGCTCTCCTCGCCCCGCCAAAGCTGGTACCCGAGGGGCGCAGGGCCCACCCGGGCTGGGCTCAGCCCGCTGTCCGGCGGGGAGGCTGCGGGTGGGCGT